TATATATATATAGCACGTTAATAAGAATATGCATGTATTCTTATTGAGTGTTTTCAAAATGCTCACTCTTATAACAACTTTTCAGGTTAGAACCGGTCGTGTGGACGAGTAGAAGATTGACCGAGTAACGCTTATGTGGTCGTCAAGTAAATATTAAGATATGATAAATTGCAAATTTATATTTGAAGAACATCATTAAGTTAAAATTTTATGCACGTGATTTAGAGTTCTCTTATTGTGTTCGAGCATTTGACGTTTATGTTAAATTTATATTGTTGGGTAAAATTTACTTGAATTGCATTTTTTTTTGTTATCATCGAATTAGCTATCACATTTTAAATCCGTTTAAATTAGATAAAGAAATTTTTGGCAACACCTCAAATCCATTTTTATAAAAGAAAAAAAAAAGAGAGATAATAGAAGTTATAAATATAAGGATTTCGGGCCGTTACAACTAATTTTTAGCAATTCATATACTGCATTTTGTAATTTTTTTTTTCATCATGTAGAAATTAATTATGTAAGGCTATGATGCTTAAAAGGCCTTTTTTTTTTCCTTTTTCTTAACAGTTGATAAAACATGACTATCATCTAAATCATAATTATCCTCACCATGCATATTAATTCAATACCCCTTCGATAATCTCTTCGTTGGTATGTTACTTTATAATCGTATCATTTTCACTAGGATAATTTAAGATGTTATCGGCAGCCATCACATTTTTATTATGTTCATTGGAAATGACTTCACGTAATCTATATTCATTTATCAACAAACTAAATAACATCTCTAAAATAATAGTTTTTCTCAATCCCAATATTATTATCTTATAAAGTTTTATCATATTGAAATAATCTCCACATAATTCACACATAATTTGAAGGGAAGGAAAATCCAATAGCTGATTGGCTCCCTAACACTCAATACGAAGAGCAAAAGTTCAATTCTGGGGGAAATCATTGGTTTAATGAAATTAGTTAATAGTTGGTTAGCTCTAAGTGAAATTGATTTATTCATTTGTATAATACAATACAATTTCTATTAAGATTTAGGGGTATATCTTAAATAGTAAATCTTATTAAGACGAGTAGTCAAAATCCTTATAAATTGATCTATGTTTTTATCTTTATTCGATTAATAATTTTTATCTCTTAATATGCTCGTGTAAGATGATGGCTCATTTAAACGAACTAATTTTGAAATTCGCTTTTTCATTTTTTGAACTTTAATCGGATCGAATTGTTTATTGAAACTTAATGGACTTTGATATCATAATAAAAAATAAAAAATGTTGGGGACAATCCCTA